TCTGCCTCCCGAGTGCTGGGATTAACAGCATGCTCCACTGTCGCCTGGCAATCCCCACCTTCACTCTAGTCAAGAGAAGCAGGCTCTCTCGGGCACCGGGACCTTTACGAGGCCATGGTGAGTCCTAAGGAGCAGAAGCAGAGAAGGAGGACCATTAGGAAGGAATCCCCGGGAGTTACAAACTGGGGTCGGTGTGAGGGCCAGCGGTCCACGATCACAAGGTTTCCAGCCAGACTTTGGAGGAGAAACTGAAACAGAGAAAGTACTGAAGATCCGGAGCCCCTGAGGCTGGAGAGGTCACCTTCCAGGCCTGCAGGAAAAAGGAATTCGCCCATCTCTCTAAGACCCCGAGGCCAGACCGGAACTGTTAAGCATCAAGTGCTGGGAAATCAAGCCAGGTGCCTCCGCTTGCCACACAAATAAACAAGATTAGCATATAAAAGTCTCGGTTTCTCTCCTGCAGCGGTCATGCCCCGGGGGCCTGATCCCACTAGAAATTGCTAACCACTGACATTCCAGGCTTCACGCCCTGCCCTCTCTCTGTGTGACTAGGGACAAGCTACCTACTTTCTCAGTACCTCAGTTTACTCAGGCTTAAAATGGGTTGCATTGGAATGCCTGTTTTATAAACTTGTGAGGAAGAATTTAAAACAGCCGGGCAGTGGTGGTGCACGCCTGTAATCCCAGCCCTCGGGAGGCAGAGGCTGGCGGATCTCTGTGAGTTTGAGGCCAGCCAGCCAGGACTATGCAGAAAAACCTGGTCTAGAAAAACAACCAAAAAGGAATTTAGAATAATGTTGACAGTTTTCATTGAGTAGCATTTACAGCTGAGTGTTAAGCACCATTCGACCTGACTCAGCCTAGAACACTTCTCTGGAATCCTCTAGAGAAGGTCTGGGTCCGAATTTGAGGGGGTAGAGCACTGGCCTTGAATTCAGCAGTGAGGCTGGGGGGCTACGGGCATCTGAGGACCTCTTCTTGGCCTCCATGGTCACATTCAAG